AAACGTATGCTCCACACCACCGATCAGTACAAGATCTCTCATGATCTGTATGCCAACGCCACCCTCCAGAGACCTGGCAGTCTGGCAGGTCAGTGCGATTTGCGGGATACAGTGTTTCCATTTGGTAGTATCACCATTAAAAACACATAAGCACTGGTCACACTTACTGTAGCGGTTGTTTGATATCATCAGACAGATGAATCGGAATTTGACACTGTTGTTTCCAAGTATATTTATAGCATTTTTGTTCTGGTTAATGGCGCTTGAGAATCTGCCTTTGTATATGATGTAGGTTCCAGGGGTTCGTACAGCAGTCAGCACAGTCACCTGGGCTCGGAGCTAAGACCCTTGCAGTCTCCTGAGCACCATATCGACCCCATTTATGAGGACAGAGTCTATCAGAAAGCCCCCCTGAGGAACTTCAACCAAGGCCAGGGTAAGATAAGCAGACATCAGGTTCTCTAACAATTTAACGTCAACAGCAAAAATCTTCTCCGTTAGAACATCATGGCTCTAGTACAGGTGCATTTATGAAATAAAAGGCTTGTTTCGGCTTTCTTTTTGTTCAAAATAGAAATGTTTTCCCAAAGTGCCCAATTTATAGCAGTGAGCAGCTAGACATCATCACTTTAACTGTATCAGATAGTATTAAGTTTTTGCTTTTAAGGTTTTAAAGTCAATTTACTTCCATTCACATTTTGTTTTGAGCTGAATATAATATATCATTACAACTAATTTATGGTGCTTTATGGCATGTCTAGACACCTTAAAAAATGTCTTGCATAAAAAAAGTGTAATCTATATAAAAGCACAGGCTTCTCTATACGTACATTACATGTTTGCAGGCTAATGGATGTGCTTTTCAGTGTTTCTACTTGTACAGCCATAAAAGCATGTATGTACTGTAGGTTAAAAGGACAATTCAGTCAAAAATCAGTTACTCATTTACTCAAACTCATGTCCTTCCTAACCTGTATGACTTTCTTTCTTTTGTGGAACAATAAGGAAATATTTTGAAAAGTGTCTTTCTTTGCAAAAATTCAGTGTCGTCCAATGTTGTTTTGGACCCCAGCGTATCTTCTTTTGTGTTCCACTGAAGAAAGAAAGTCATACAGGTTTAGAACGACATACCTTAAACATTTTCATCCAAACTTGTCCACCTGAAAGTTATTGAAAGTCAGCATCAAATGCGGTTCTCAACTCACTTTGCTTCCATAACCTAATGTATTTCTTTGTCAAACCAATTATGGATCATGATATGGGATAGGGCAGTGCTTCTCAACGGATTTGGCCATGAGACCCACATTTTCCCATGGTCATCAAGCCGCGACCCACTTTATATATATATATATAATTTGTTTAAAAAAATATACCTTCATACAAATCCTTCCCAGCTATCACACAAAGTACCAGTTATGTGATTTATTGGTACTTTACTTTTATTTCACACGTTGCATGCTCCTAGTTTCTTTTGCGCTTTAGTGAAATGATGTACAGTGTGCGCTGCCGCATTTGCGCGAGCAATTGAAGAGTGCGTGCTACAAGCACAGTATAATGTCTGACAGGACAGGATAGTTCATTTTTCTGAGGTGAGAGACTTTTTATTTCATAGCAAGTTACAAAAAAAACTATAGAATAATGAGACTGACATTAAGCCTGACAACATCTCATCTGACCGCAGATACTGAATCGGGACAGCATGTTTTTCTCAGGCAGTCTTTACTTAAAGGGGGTCCTATTATGCTTTTTCACTTTTTCAACTTTAGCTAGTCTGTAATGTTGCTGTTTGTCTGAGCATAAAGTTAGCTGCAAAGTTACAAAGTTCAAAGTCCACTTCAAAAAGAGATATTTTATTTAACAGAAATCACTTTTCAAAAACTACAACGAACGATTCGTTTGGACTACAACGCATATTTTCCGGGATTTGTGATATCACAAATATCGACGAATGGGACGAGACCTGGTTGAGCTGCACTAGAGAAGGCAACGAGTGTTATCACTATGTCGGAGACATGCTATCTTTCCCAAGGCAGACAAACTTAGAGTGGTTACAATCATCCAGGTTTAAATCGTGCTCAAATTGATTTGATTTTGATGCAATATTTACACTGAAGCTCGCAGCTCGCAGGCGGCTATGGTAAGGGGCATGTCATTTCCCGACCAGGCGCCGAGTGCTGCCAATCACAACACACACTGGCCCAGCTAACCAATCACAGCACATTTCGCCTTCATTTGATACTGGAACTATTCGAGCCGTTCATGCCAGACCTGGGAGAGAGGTGTTGTATTAATGTAAAATATGTGAAAAAGAATGTTTTTCGAACAACCTAGTATGAGAACCTTTTCTAACACCCCCCCAAAAAAATCAAGACTTTGTAAAAGAGCATAATAGGACCCCTTTAAACTGAAAAAAAAAAAAAAGTGTCAACAGCTTTCATGCACATCTTTCAAAATAAAAGTCTCACATCAGAAAGACAAAAACAAAGCGATATACTGAATGTGACGAATAACCTTCAAAAGGCTGTGATTTGATTAGCGCTGCACATTCAAAGTCCGGTGCTGCGCTGCTTTGTGTTCTGCCGTTACCGGGGAAATAGTTATAGGTCTGCCAAAAGCGTCACCTGCTGGCAGAGAATTAATGTGCATTTTCAATAAAACTGTTGTTTAGTTTAGATTTCAGACAAATGCAAAAATCGACCCATGTTTTTGTCCTGCAAACATGCGGAGCTTTAAATGTGAACTGGTGGATCGATAAGAAGACAATGCATTTTAAAAATCTAAACAGTATAGGGGTGTGCGATATGTATGGTTTGCGATAATATCGTAATTGTTTTAATGATGTGCGATTTGATATTATCGAGTATATCGCGAAAAGCAAACAAAACACACCTACAGAGTGCACGCATACAACTTAGTAGTTTAGACTAGTGCGCGTGCACATTTAGAGCATGTTCTTTCACTGCATGAATCAGTCTATTAAAATGCATTCAGAATTATCACATAATTCAAGATATGGGGCAGAAAATGTATATATTTATATAATTTCATATAGTTAATATCACACGAAGAGTGACGCTTTTTTCTCCAAAAGTCAGCATGATTACAAATGTGATATTGATTTTATACAACAGAAACAAATATAAACAAGAAGTTAATATTAAGAGACTTACGTTTTAGACACCATTTGCCTGTTTTTGCTCTATTTCGCCAACAAAAATCATTCCAAACACAGCCACAGCGCTGTTTTGCATCTCTGAGTATTGTTCCTGAATGAATCAACCGTTTAAAAGATTTGGTTCAATCACAATGACTCCCTTAACAGTGACTTGCTGCCACCTACTGGCGGTTTAAATTGCACTTTTAAGGTATACAAGGTACTTTTAAGGTCATTTTTAAAATAATTTCAAACATCAGTTTTCAATGTTTTATGTTTAATATATCAAAACATTATTTATGCATTAGTAAATGCAGGTTAAAGTATTCCATGTCCCTCAGAGCTGCATTAAACTGTGTGTAAATGCATCTAAATGCCACTTCTAATGCAGCTAAAGATTTAAGATAAATTTAGTTGATACTGATTTCATTTGCTTGGTAACAGCCCAAATGCAAGAATTTGACTCAAAAGATGGTACATACTTTTAGAAAAAAATGGCTTAAAGGTAAAAATGCCCATAAAACTGGTTGGAAATTATTAATTTCTATCACTGCTGTGAACTGACCACACAGAATATGAAAAATATTAAAAAAATTCAGGAGTCAGCTGTCCACGGCATTCCCTAAGATATCAGCAAAATAACACACTCAGCAAAATATCGTCTAATTAACGTTATCGATAAAATCCCAGAAAATTACTGAGATGTCATTTTTTTGTTAATATCGCACACCGCTTGTTTGTTATTTAATTGATATAATCATTTATTAATAATAATTGTTTAAATTATTATTAATAAATGATTATATCATTTATTAATAATAATTGTTTAAATTAATATAACAATTAATACTTTTGACTCATCCATTTTCTTAAAAGTGGTTTCAAGGCTGAAATGGAAAGTTGATCATTTTATAAAACTTGTTGTTTTTGTGAAAACTTGTATCTGAACTGTAAATTATGCTTTTTAGAGTAATTTTACAGTTTAATATGATACTATAAACATTGCCCTACCCCGCTCATATGGTATTCATTTTTTTTGAGCAGGTCTTAAAAAAGGTCTTAAAAAGTCTTAAATTTGAGCTTAAAAATCCTGCAGAAACCCTGTCTTTGCACAGATTGAAAAATGTTTAGCCTAAAGGTAGTGTAAAATTCAATTAAACGTTATTCACCGCTACTTTTTGAAACAACTTAATCAGCAGATTCTCTACACAAGCAAATCATTGACCGCCAATGGAGCGCTTGGTAAATCAGGCCTGCAGTATTAGTTTTGGAATATGTGCGATTACACAAGAAACCTGTGGAAAAACATGTTGAAAGCGATTTGCTTTCTCTTCTAAATGGTTCATAGTAATCTTTCCCTTATTTGCAGTGCAGTAGATATGTAAGCCTCTACGACATCCCCGTTATCGTGAACAAACACGGCCGAACTGTTCCATGGAGTTCTAGCAGAAGCGCTTCATCCTGACACTGTACCTTTAGATTTCTAATCCCACTCTTGACATGATACTCTCGTTTATGCTTTCTCTTTCTCTGGCTTTGAACTTGTTTCAATAACTGTCTCCCCTCAACACTGTTTTATCATCATTAGCTAAGCCTGGCAAACTACTGCCTTTGGTTTCATTCAGTCAGGAAAAAAACTGTGGGAACAACATACAAATGATAACAGAACTGGGTAAGCTGCGCCTTTGTCCTCCGCTACTCTGATGCACTGCCTCCTTCATCAGCTTGCCTTGATTTCTCTCGCTGCAGCTGAGGCCTGCTCCCATGGCATCACTTTGAACACATTTTATCCTTAGTTCTGGTTGAAATTGACTGTCTTGTTTTTGGCCTTTTTTAAGGATTTTTTTTCTTTCTTTCTCAGAGCATCACTAGGCCTTTGATCATGCGAGTCTGTCCTTGTGGCTGTATCCATAGCATCTCCCTGCTGTTCAATACTTTGGCCCGGGCTCCTTTTCATCAGCGGCCTGTCTGAAAGACTGACATTTCTCTTCCTTAGCTCACAGGAAGTCTGGGAAGAAATCAAATTAGAAAAAAAAACAAAAAAACAGATCAAACCTTGCTTTAAGCTGTTTATTTTTATTTATTTATTTTGGTGCTGGCCCTAATCTCTGAAGCATAGATTTTGAAAGGGGGTGAAACAAAGATTGTGTGAGGCTGTGTTCAAACCGTGCAGGATTTCAGGGCATTGTCTCTATACGTTGGCCGCTGAGACCATACCCAATAGCCTCAAAGCAATCTGACTGCTGCTGCTGTCCAACCAAAGATACCAATGTTTAAAAATGTTTGTTTTGTTTTGTTTTTCTTAATATTATTTATAAGTGGACCTAAATTTTTACAATAGTGCTTTATAACTTGTCTTTTTCCCTACAATAAAATTTTGATAATTGTAAATCACTTCAAGTAATAGTATCCAAAAATACAAATAGTCATCCTTTAAAGATCTTTGTGTTGTTCCAGATACGTAGAACTCTCTTTTTTTGATGCAACACAAAAAGAGAAATGTCAAAGAATTATACTAGTCACTCTTCTCCATGCAATTACGATGGATGGGGATTGAGGCTTTCAAGTTAAAAAAAAAAAAAAAAGCATCCAAAAGCTTAATAAAAGTAGGTCATAATACTTTTGATGTCATACAATAGCTGTATGAGAAACAAAGTGTAATTTTGATGATCTGATGATCTTCCCCTCTAATGATTCGTTCACCGCTGTGACTGAATTATTGAGTCAGTGAACAGGATCAGTCCAATTTTCGACCGAACTATTCAGATCAGTTTTGTGAAGTGATGATTCATTAAAAGGATCTGACTCAAAAGAACGATCCAGACATCGCAACTTCTCTCAGAAACTGAATTTTCATTTTTAACTATCCCTTCTAAGTTATTCAGATACAAGTTAGATCCACAATTTGAGTACTGCATTGTGCAGATATCAATATTTCAGTCTATATTAATCTCCAGAACGCATGCCCACTGATGTGCATGCAGTTTTTTTTTATTTTTTTGCTAATTGTTTATTTGACATCATTAATCCGTTTATTGCTGGTTGGTGAGACACTCTTCACCCTTTGAAAGACATTAGTTGACTCTTCACAGCTCTTCTGCACAGTTGTAAAACGTCTCTCTCTGTACTGCAGTGAATGACTCCAACGTTCAGTTTTTGGACCAAGACGACGATGACGACCCAGATACGGAGCTGTATCTGACCCAGCCGTTTGCCTGTGGTACCGCGTTCGCCATCAGCGTGTTGGACTCCCTGATGAGTGCGGTGAGTTAGTGGCTAAACAGCTGCCACGTTGACACCTGTTTACTGATTTTAATTCCTTTTTAACAGATTAGCATGCATAAATCCATTAAAAAAATTATCGCCGCAGAATAAGTCGATTCAGATCCTTTTATTGTGTGAAGGATCCTTCATATTATCTACTAGGCTTCAGGTGATCTTTTCGTTCGTATTCAAAAGCAGCCAGTGATTTGGGGAACAAAGCAACCTGTCAAAAGGTGCACAGTCATTTCTCTCCCATCATGGCATGTCATATAGAATTACATGAAGGCATGTCTCACCGCTAATCCTCTGAAATAATGTATAGGAAAGAGACATCCTCCGGCTGTGCAGTGCTTTAGATGTAGGGCTCAGGCACTAGGCTTCAGATGATCTTTTCGTTCGTATTCAAAAGCAGCCAGTGATTTGGGGAACAAAGCAACCTGTCAAAAGGTGCACAGTCATTTCTCTCCCATCATGGCATGTCATATAGAATTACATGAAGGCATGTCTCACCGCTAATCCTCTGAAATAATGTATAGGAAAGAGACATCCTCCGGCTGTGCAGTGCTTTAGATGTAGGGCTCAGGCGTTACCAGTAGGCAGAGGTTGGTAAATGAAATGCCACATTGATCAGACAGCACTGTCAGCAGCGGTGACATCAAAAGGAAAGTTGTTGCCAAGACTCCTCATATAATGTGTCATGAAATTAACTTTCAAGAGTCTTATTAGATCTTTTAACAAGGTAAGTGCTCAAGTTTTCTTTAATGACATGCCTTGACACGCAAAGGTGGGTGTCCATGGGGTCCAAGAGCTCTAATCTCCTAACAATGTCATCTTGGGTAGATTAGGAAAGATACCTTTTTTTTTTTTTTTTTATAAACCTTTTTCTCCTTCCTCTCTTCTTCTTTTTTTTCCCCTCACCACCTACGACCGCTACTATCCCCTTATCCATATGATGGCTTAATTCCAGTACCTTTCACTTTGAGTGAAGCTAGAACAAAGCAGCCTTCAAGTGCATTTCACTGTGGACAAAGGTGAAGCCTGCTAATAGACAGCTCTCATCCATCATTCGGCTGAATGCTGCTGTCAGGGGCCTGGAGAGGTGTCGCTCTAGTGCAAGCTTGCCGCGACACAGCCCTCTGGTGATCACACAAACGACCTTGTGGTCTTAGTGGAATCTTTTATTTTTATACGATAATCATTTGACAACTTTATCATCAGTGACACCAAAGAACATTTGATGGACAAGATACAGCGTGGTCTACAAGTCAGAAACCACTTTAAAAGTCAAGGATACAGAATCTGATTTAAACTTGGAATTAAAATAAAGTTTTAGGATTTAAAATACACTATTGTTAGAAAGTTTGGGTTCGGAAAGATTTTTTTAAAGAAATGAATACTTTTATTCAGCGTAGACACATTAAATTGATCAAAAGTGACAGTAAAGAAAAAAAAATAAGCAGCACAAATGTTTTCAACATTGATAATAAATGTTTCTTGAGCAGCAAATCAGCATATTAGAATGATTTCTGAAAGATCACATGACACTGAATGTAATGAAAGTAATGATGCTGAAAATTCCACTTTGTCATCACAGGAATAAATTACATTTCAAAATATATTAAAATAGAAAACTATTATACATAAAAAAATCTTACTGACCTCAGACATTTAAATGGTAGTGTATAAAAGTTATGAGGTGAAGTGAATAAGAAAAATCAAAGAGTCTTGAAAAAATCTATCTCAGTTTCCGCAAGAATATTAAACGGCACAACTGTTTTCAACAATAATAAGACAGTAATAATAAGAAACGTTGCTTGAGCACAACACTGCCTTAAATCTTTCATGGTATTTCTATATCCAGTGCTGGGTAGATTACTTGCAAATTATGGACCGTTACTGATTACAAATTACATAAAGTAAATTATAGTTAGTAAAATAATCTGGATTACACATACATGTAGGTCACTATTTAAAATGTGACATTGACCATGTTAACAGATGCAGGATTACACAGCTCATCATGTTTTACTTACACATATAAACATATTATTATTAAAGCAAACATATTCAACTATTCACCTAAACTGTTAAAAAAAAAAGCAAAAAAGAAGAACTTTCACTAGTGGTCTCAAACTTTTAGACCCCACTGTACAAGACAAATGTCCCCAACTTGTTGTGTTATGAGATCTATTCTTCATTGTATGTAATCTGCAATTAGCTACAATAATGATAATTAAAATGTCCTCGTGTGCAAAACGCTCCCCTGTTAAGCGTGGCTGGTGTTACCAAAATTAATGTGCGTGGGGAGGAGACGACGACGATGACAACAACAACAACAGCTGGCATAATTGCATTCCTGTGTCTCTTCCCTTCCCAGGGAGTGAAATGAGAAAAGACAGATCAGGGTCTAGATAACAGTGCTCGGGACAGCTCCAAAATCCTGACTGTCTTGAGTTGTGACTCTAATGGTGCTCACATCCGGATCCTCTCCTTTATCTTGGCAGACATATTTCAATGATAATATCCTCACCCTGATCCGGACGCTGGTCACAGGAGGCGCCACTCCGGAGCTGGAGGCCCTGTTGGCTGAGGAGAACGCGCTGAGAGGTGGCTACAGCACGCCGCAGACGCTGGCTAACAGGGACAGGTGTCGGGTTGCCCAGCTGGCCCTCTACGATGGGCCCTTCGCAGACTTGGGGGTAAGTGGGCGGTTAAGAGGAGCTGACACGTTTTGGCATTTTCCCCAACAGGGCTCATTCCCTGTCCGAGGTCTCCCCTGCCCACTAATGCAAAGTGAACTAGCTGAACATGCAAAGTCTGTGGGTAAAAAATAATGCTGCCTTAAATATTTCATGGTATTTCTACTGTATATCCAGTGCTGGGTAGATTACTTAAAAAATTATGGTCCGTTACTGATTACAAATTACATGAAGTACATTGTGGTTTATAACATAATCTGGATTACACATATTAGGTAATGTAGTCCTACTTTTTGATTCCTTTTAAATTATTTTTGACCCAACACATTTATCACATAGACCTGAATGTGATTATAGTGTACCATACTGATTTAAAAAATTTATATAATTTCCCAAACTGTGGTTTGTGAAAAAAAAAAAAAAACAGTAGGGTGTTCATAAAAAACAAACAAAAAATTAATGAAATCGTAAAATGTCAAAAGCTTGGAAATCCCTACATTACATAAACCTTCAACATGATCATAAACATGACATTACATGGCCAAAGTCTTCTGGGTTTTAAATAATTTTGTCCAGACTTTCAATATTAATGATTAGTGAACGTCACTGCATATGATGAATTCAAAGTATTTCACAGCTATGTGTCAGCAGTGTTTAGTAACTTGCATAAATATTGGTCTGTATATAAGAGGTATGTTCATTTAGAAAGGAAAATTTAAAAGAAAAAATAAACTGGGGTAAAAAAAAAAAAAAAAAAATTATGAATAGTTTACTGTCATTTTGTGAATACAATGTAATCCATAAAAAAGGACCTGTAATCTGATTATGAGCAATTTAAAATGTAATATATTCCAATTAAAAGTACTTAATTTTTGGGTTCTGATTACGTAATGCAGATGACACGTACTCAGTTACTACCCAGCACTGCCTGTATCGAAGTAAAAATGCCACATATTTCATTATAGTAGTGTAGACATGAATGAGGCAAACAACACCTGCTCTTACACTCAAGTTGGCTCTGTCATGCCTGAAATAAGCATATGATGACTTGAATGTTATGAATGAACGATTAAAGCACTATTTTGTGTTCTTTTTCAGGATGGTGGTTGCTACGGAGACTTATTTTGTAAAGCATTAAAAACATACAACATGCTGTGCTTTGGAATCTATAGATTGCGAGATGCACATTTAAGTATACCAGGCCAGTGCACAAAAAGGTGAGCTGTCCATTTGACCTATTAACCTCTTTATCAGGAGGGTTTTAGCCCTTTATTTCACTTGGCCTATAATCCAGCTTCACTACTGGGAAATAACAATTAAGCCCACATTATTGTAAACCCAGTTCCCACACCTAGCAAGGTGTGAGGTCCCTACCCAGGCAACATACTGTAGGAGCGCAACTGATAAAAGTTTTCACAAATTTATGCTTGCTTGTAAGATAAATTCATATTCAAAAGGACAATTTAAAAAGGAAATAAGAAATTAATACTTTTATTGAAATGTAACAGAAATTATAGTAAAGACATTTATCACGTTACAAGAGATTTAGATTTAATCAACTTCATCAAAGAATCCTGAAAGGAGCATCAAAGCAATTTTTGAGCATCAAATCAGCATATTAGAAGGATCATGTGACACTGAAGACTAGAGTAATGATGCTGAAAATCCAGCTTTTCATCACAGGAATAAATTGTTTTAGAATATATTAAAATAGGTTTAATCCTAATTATATTTCACAATATTACTGTTTTGCTGTGATTTTGATCAAATAAATGCAGCCTTTATGAAGAGATTTCTTTCAAAAGCATTTAAAAAAAAAAGTGTACTGTAGTTGTGCCTCATTTTATCCACAATCTAAGGCACTGGCACGTGTCCTTCATGGCTAAAGCTACCCCATAGTGCATTTTGCAAGTTCAGTGAATATTTTTTAGCCATTTTAAACATTTTCAAGTATGATTTTAATCAGTAGTGAAATCAGTACTGATCTTTTTTCAATGTTATTATGTGCACTATGTATTACTATTATCAGAATCCAGCTGTTAGCTTAGCCACATGCTAATATTTGAATATTGGAATCAACTGTAAGAGTCCCTCGTGTGCTTCATGAGAGGATCAGGATTATGTGGCACATTTGAATGATAATTAACAGTTACAAGTTACAAACGATGAGGAAACTTTAGATTAGTAATGATGGTAATATATATATGTAGATGGAAAACTATAAGTGGTACAGAAATTATACACTTTACCTATAAACCGGTTTAATATTGTTTAAAGGGGTCATATGATGCTTTTTTTTAAAAATCATTATTTTGTGTATTTGGTGTAACAGAATATGTTGACATGTGCACAATCAGCTTGTAACACTCCCAACGAGAAAGGAAAACTTGAAATCACATCATATGACCCCTTTAACATTAAACAAGGTAAATAAATGCTATATCTCTTACATGAGATCCTTGAACATGTGTGCAGGTATGTCATCACAAACCCACCTTACGAGTTTGAGCTGGTGCCCACGGACCTGATCTTCTGTCTGATGCAGTTTGACCACAATGCGGGCCAGTCCCGAGCGAGCCTGTCCCACTCCTCCCATTCCTCTCATTCATCCAGCAAGAAGAGCTCGTCTGTTCACTCCATCGCCGCAACGAACCGGCAGAACCGCAGCAGCAAAGCACGTGAAGCCCGTGACAAACAGAAGTAAGTTGGCCTTTATTTCTCTCTTTAACCCAGCAGAGTGAGTGTATGTGTGTGTTTGTTCACTTCTGTGGGTTTAGCACGCCTTGTACAGAAAGGATGCGGTGTGTTTGTACTCAGCGTTCCATGTTCTGTTTGTGAGTTTGCTTCATTGTTATGTGCATGTGGCCCTTGCCTTGACCACACATAGAACTTTGACCATTTGATCATTGCTTATCATTTGCTCACTGTAACCAGGAACATGTCTGCATATCGCTGTTGCATTTCTACAAACACAATCAACCTGTGAGCTTTTGAAAATAAACTAGAGGTCTGCATTTCAAAAAGTCTGTTTAGATTTGTTACAGCACAGGATTAAATTTGGAATTTTAAATGTATGAATTAATAATAACACTGAAATTTGCAGGTCCCATGCAGACCTCTAGAACTGTTTATTTAATATTTATTATTAAGCTTAATAATGTTCCGGAAATAGAGGCAGAATTTTCCATCAGCATTTGTGTATAGGTAATAGATCATTTTGGTCGTTATTCCACATATAAGAGTAAGGAAACGGCATTAATTAATTTCTTGCCTTCCTGTTTGTCCAATCATTATGTCTGTGTGTGTGAGAACTGCAAATTGCATCATCATGTTTTTAGTCTGTGTTAGTGGCTTATTTTTAGTTATGGTCTAGTGATTTTTTTTATGTTCCAGGTAGGGTTTAGAGACATTATCATAGCATAAATGGTTTCACACCATCCACATGCCTTGCAGGTGCAGAAACTCCTATGGTGTGTATTTTTGTAGAAGCTTTGGATAATTTAAGTGTGGATCTTTTCAAATTTCCAGCTTTGAAACCTTTATCATCTACATATACAGTCTTTATGAAGCTGCTGTTGTTGAGACTTATCTCTCACCAGAATGGAGGTGCTGCAAGGTATTGTGGGATGTTGTAAAACCCTGCATTGATTTCAGTGCCTGTTACAATATGTGCCTAAAAGTTGTAATTCAAAAAGTTAGAGTTTGTAATAGAGCCCGACCGATATGGGTTTTTTGAGGGCCGATACCGATATTAGGGACTTAAAAAAAAAGGCCGATATCGATATACCGGCCGATATTCTTTGTGTAGGCTATATTATAGTACAGTACCAGTCAAAAGTTTGGACACTTTCCCATTCGTGTGTCCAAACTTTTGACTGGTACTATATATAGAATGCTGTCTATACATAAACAGAATATATATACACATAAAGTTTTTTTTTTTTCAATGGTATTCCATACACTTAAGCTTTTAAAGCATTTCATCCAGATCACCAGTAGCAAAAAATGGACAAACTACGTAAAAAAAAAAGTTCATATCAGTAGCATATACGCCGATACCAATATATCTGCGACAGGCTCATAACGGCCGATAAAATAGGCAAAACGATATATCGGGTGGGCTCTAGTTTGTAAGATGTTCCCCCTTAGAGAGTAGGTTACATTAAGTGATCTATTTTTTCCAGATTTGAGAAGCACATTGTCTTTTTCAAGAGTTTTACAATACAAATTTATTTTTAATTGGATAAAATTAAATGGTCAGATCCATCATAATCTTTAATATTAAATGAGCTAAATAGTTTGTAGTCTTAAATCCTGAATTAGCATTAGAAACATTTTATTTAGATTTTTATAAGAATCATTTCTCATTAGAGTAAAATAAGATGGTTATGATTTTTAATTCACAATATATTAACCAGACTAAAAATGTAGCGATATGATGTCAGTATAACATCAACCGTGAACCCGAGTCCAAAAGGAACAATTTCAGCTTGCCATCTGGAGTGCTCTCTGATACTTACACGGGCTGCTTTGAAGGATCTCGAGCTCTACTAATAAAACAAACGTATATGCTTTCATTTTCATAACCTAACGGAGGTGAAAACCAATATTGAATGACTGATGACACGATGTTGATACTCAGAGAATCACAGGAGGAGGGACTCTGCTCTTTCTGTAATGAGGGTAGAGTTATAGTAATATTAGCGATGTTTGACCTAAATTAGGTCTCGGTAAAGGCGTGCTGAAATAGCAGTGAACTAATAGCTTGTAGATGCAAGAAAAGAGACATTAGCGCTCGTTCATCCATTGAGCAAAAGAATATAAATCTGTTGTATAAATTCTGCCCGTTCTAGTCCACGTTTACTTAAGTAAAAAGAGCTCAGCTTTATTGTTTATCTACTGGACAATTAGGCTTTGTCCTGAAGTGATTTTCTGAATTGTAATTACATTGGTGTTACACTTTGTAGCAAGTAGATTTCTTAATGAAGGAAAAAAAAGAATACAAATGTGAGTAAACTATGTATAATTGGATTGGCTACATACTTGCTAGCCTGAAAAAAAAAAAAGAATCCCGTGGTGTTAAATGTCCAATTGATTTATTTATTTTCTTCCATGTAAAGTCTTTTTCCTATAACGAACTACATTACAAAGAAAGGCTGATGGCACAGTCAAGACAGCAGGTTTCATTTGATGAGAAAAGTGTAGATGCATGTTGAAGGAAGTAGAAAGCAAACTAGCTCTTTCTTTCTTTTTGAGGCTTATTAACCATCAGGTTTTTACATTCCATTTTGTCATCAGCATTTCAATGTTACCATCACAACTAGTTTGAAAATGTCAAAATCGGTTGTTTGTTTACAGATCTTTTCTTTCTTTTTCAAACCACATACTCAGGTAGCGATCCTGATGACAAAACTACAAAGTAAAGCTGGCTTACATTTTTTTTTTGTTACCTTTCGTAGCCCTAATGACAGTTTGAGGTGATACTGATATTTCTTTTCCACTGCAACAAATGTGCAATTGTTTTAGTATCATGCATTTATTTGTACATCTTGTGAAGAAACTACAGTGTACACAAATCAGAGTTTCTACAGTGCCATGAAATGTGTCCATCTGCCAGCATCAGTCAGTCATTGGTCAGTAATACTGGCATGGAGAACATCCAAGCTATCCTTGCCTCCATGCCAGGACAGAGCCAGGCAGTGCAGGAAGACCAAAGGAGGAACGCCGTAAGACCCACTAGAGCGAAAAGTGGCATTCAAATGGGCATACGACACTTCTGCCTATGCAAGCTGCTGAAATCCCAGCACCTTGGTTATAGATACTGAACAAGTCAAAAAAGGGGACAGCAATGACTGAAAGATGCTGGGTAGAACTGACTATGACGTTTAGTTGGATCACCTGTCAATGTATTCAAGAGTGTTTCATTAAAGTAACAAAGCAACCTTACTGATGTGCTATGTAATACACAACTATCACATTTTGGCTATTTTATTCTACTGTAAAGGACATATTTAAGTTTTAGAAACTGTATAAAGAAAATGCACTGTAACAGAATAAATACTTGGAGGGAATCAAGTCTTAACATGCTGAACTTGAATATGGATTACAGTTTTGTTGTTGTCTTTTCTTCCACTTCAATAAATAATCAAAACATCTGGTTACACTTTATTTCGATAGTCCACTTTAGACATTATATTAACTATAAGTAACTTTGTAACTACATGTCAACTACTTCTCATTAATCTGCAACTACATGTCTACTAACTCTCAGCGTAGACTGTTAGGGTAGGTTTCGGGTTAGTAGAATAAGTTGACAAAGAAAGTGTAAGAAGATATTAAGCAGACAGTCTACTAATACTCTACTAACTGCTAGTTGACATGTAGTTGCTAAGTTACTTACTGTTAATAGAATGTCTAAAGTGGACTATCGAAATAAAGTGTTACCAAACATCAAACATCCATCCATACATGTAATTATTGGCATATTCACTATAGGAAATTGGGGTTTCTCATAGCAGAATGACTGATTTGACTACCAGACGTGAAGAAATTGATGGTGCTGAGCTGATCTACCTATCTCTGTCAAATATAACCTGCTGATAAAACATACTGTCTTGTACAAAACGTTTGTACATAAATTGTACATGGTTTCTTTTTGTATTTTCTCACATTAAAATGGATGTATTTGTGTTCTACGGGTGACTGGTATATTGCGTCATTACTTGATTTACACTGGACATTTGAACCAAAACAGTTTTTCATTAAAAACACACATCATTGACAAATGGACATTGTTACAGTCCAAAGATATGTGGAGGAGGAAACCGGATGTGCTGGACGCAGGGAACACACCACTTCCAAACATCTGCTAATATTTAAAGAGGCACGTTTAATGACAAATAACCCCTCTCACATTTGAATTATTCCACATATCGTCTACTTAAGAATGTGTAGATTTCAATAGCAAGTCATTTTATATCTACACTTTTCACTGTGCGCCTCTCAACCTATGATTACAGCGCTCCCCGGTTTCAGTCTCTAAAAATGATGACTGTGATTCAACCTTGTTCTATAGAAAGGTATCAGTCTGGTCTTACGTGGCTTGTTCTTTTCAAAACTATAAAGATCTGAGCTCGACCTACCAAACCGAAATAAAAAGAGGAAGTAGTAGAACAGATGTCGGCTGCGCTCCTGATTTGTAGGCTGATAAGGGTGGCACCCTGTAGGTTTAAATTGATGGCTTGTTAGTAAGGACTGGCCCCTTTGTGAGATGTTTTCAAAATGATTGATTTACAATAAAGTGGCTCCCTGTGTGCACGCAGGCTGAACTGATTCAGATCGATTCCAGTGAAATTGATTGATCAGCCATTTAACTTGGCAGTATGTTTACTGAACGAAACCATGCAAGACCTATTCTCCCAGTCTCCAGCAATAAAGCAGAAACAAGCCACACATCACAACAAAAACAACCACGTCTACACTACTTCTACTGCTTCGGATTCTGTTCATATAAAATATATTTGTAAATGGCAATACAATAATCAATCCCACTTTATATTGTCTTTAAACTACAAAAAAAAAAGTTTGGTACACTGAAAAACTGCAAGTAAAACATTTAATTAAATGTGAAATTTTGTAGAAAAACTGAAATAGTTTTTTCCCCCTCGTAAAACATACTCCAATGATCTGTTGAAATATATTTATATAGAGCATTAAAAACCAGCAATAAGGGCCAACAATTTGTAATACACACGCTCACTCCCGTCCGTTTGACCTCTCTCCATCTCCCTTGCCTGCTCCCAAGCCCTCATCTCTTTGCCGAGACAAAGCACTCTTGTTTTCAGCCCACAAATCATCTCGCCGTGGATACTTCATGCTGTCCTTTGGATAATTGTGGATGAAAACAGCCCCCTACATTCTCACCTTGGGATGTAGTGGCCCCATCATGCTGCTTATTAACGATTTTACACGGTGAGTCACGGCTCCGGGCCTGTCAGTACGCCAGTAATATTTACCGTCTGACACATGGGCTGTAGGGGGAGAGATTGGGAAGGAGGCGGAGGGGTGGGGGGGTGGACGGGCTGATTACACCCATCCACCTGACAGCGTCCTCATCCTTGAATCCTTCCGCAAATATACTGGTACCAACATCTTGGGTGCTGCCATAAGGCTGCTTATTATGAATTAAAGCATAATGTTATTGAAATGCAGAGAGGTGTTCGGAGGTTCGTTTCATCAGAGCTGGAGCTACGACAATCAACTTTGACGAGGTCGAGCGTAGGCGAGCATTTTCCCACATGAATACATTCGAGCACACTCGAGTGGCCATTATGGGCCATTTAGCAAATCAATAGGTGCTAAAATCAAAAACAATTTTCTGGGTGGATTGTCAGTGGAGTAAATGAAAGTGAGAAATGTCTAATATTGAACACTTAACAATCAATGTGTTGCACAATTGATGGGGTTTGTTTTCAACATGACAATTTTTCTAAACTATTATTCAAGTCAAAGTCACCCCTCGGATCCATCTGCCGTCACCGCTATTGACTCAAAACGGCATCTCTACAGGAGTCCTTCATGTGTCTCAGACGGACAGCAGTCAGAGGAGGAGTAGCTGTCACCGTGGCAACAGACCCCCATCCACGGCGACCCCCCTCGAGTCACATTCGACATCATCTTTAGGAGCCCTCCAAGCCCCGGCTTGGCCGTGATAATAGTTTCCATGACGATGCGGCATGCTCAGTGCATCAGTGCCAGCTCAGATAAACAGTGATTCTTTACAAAAACAAGAAGGTCATTACGGCAGCTTGTCAAATCAATGCTGAGAGTGTCCCGGCTGATTAAGCCATCCTCTCTCAGCTCTGACACTGTGTCAATAGTGCCGCGCCGTCTGAGCACGGCCAGATGATTGGAGTGAAATGCCCATCAGTCAGAGAGCTGAGCCGGACTAATGATTCCCTGTGCTGCCTATTAGAGCTACATGACTACAACTCAATCCTGCACTAGAGAGACCGAGAGAGACACGAGAGACAAGAGCGAAAGGAAAACAGTGACCTTGTTGCATTATTTGAAGCTGAATTAAATTGGCAGCAGCAGTTAATCTTTACCTGAGGCGATTAACAGAATTTAAGAGGAACAACAAAAGCATGGCGCATTTGCCATTTTGGCTTTCTCTTACTGACATTTTGATTTCCTTCTCCATTCTGGAAGATGATGATTTATCATTAAGGGAACAGGAGAGAGGGGAGGATCATCTACATCATAAATGGCTAGCATAAAATATGCTCTCGGTTCGCTTTTTAAATTTGTTTTAGTGTGTAGCTCCGCAGCCCTGTGGTGAGATTTGTGTAAGCCTCATCCAATTGACTTATCCATTTTGTCAGCTGGGATTCATCCCCCTGCGCCCCGCTGGTGACTGCAATGCTGAGCCGGTGAGTCGACCGGTGCTCTGTGCAGAGACGGGCAAATGTGTGCGATCAGATAGCTGGAATCGCACGGCATTAAGCGCTCTCGCTTGGGAGCTGCCTAATTGCTTAGTGTTAATAGAGCACGCTTAAACTCACTAATCTTGATTTACTTTTTATCAGACAAGACGACTAAGATTGAGCATGCACACAAAAGTCAATGGTCTCCTGCAATATCGAAAAAGAAGTCTCGAAGAACAATTATTTCACTTCAGGCACACATTTTCAGCCAAAATGAATTGTTCTTAGATATGAAGTATAACACGTCAACTTCCCAAAACTTATTCAAACAGCATTTTGGTCATTATTTTGACCTAATATTAAATTACATACTATCTGGTAAATTAATACATTAAATAATTGTAAAATACAAATGAATGTAATCACACCACAGGACCATTTAAATGAACTAGAACAGAATAGGATTATAAATGGCATACGCACATTTTTTACAGCAATTCCCCCTTATACATTTTAAAATGTGTAAATCTACATAGATAATAATTGACATAAATAGACTAAACTATTCATCTCTGATAATTTTTTTAATCTTTTTACCTTGTACAAAATGTACAGATATGATTAAAATTAAAAACTTGAAGGATAGAAAAAGCTAATTCCTGTTCTGTTGATATTGTCATATTTCTGCATTCTTTCAGTACGAGATGAAAATGGCATTAATTGGGATTTACCTGCCAATGGAACTAATAAGGCAACATGTTACATCCACACGCTTGAGAGATTTCACATGAAATTACTCTCAAAACAAATTAATGATGATGATGATATATAAATAAAGGCAAGCCGTTATTTATACACGCCTGGTCTATCATTTGCTAATATTACACGATTTCGCTCAGCGTGAAGACTGGGAGGAAAATCATGACTAATTTAACATGACATCAAAAATGGCCTCTCCTCTCAACAAACGTTTGTTGGCAATGGTCAATCAAGCTCTTTCTCCACATGCATTAGTCTGCCTGTCTACATGTGAAACAGCAGAGAGAAAACAAATCCACAGGGAGTCATGTAATTGTCTTGTAGAGCAAGCTTTCCTCAACACAAAACACAATCTGAAGAGAAAATGTGTAAGGCGTGTGTGTGCATCCAATTCTCTCCCTAACAGTGCCATGTCATTAATAATATGTTATTGAGAAAACACACACACACACTTCAGCATGGAAAGAAATCCATTACCTTGATTTCTCTCTGCAGCTTCACCCTGTAACGTGTGATATTTACAACAATATTAATTGTCACTGCATGCATGAAGATAAATGAGAGGAACTGTCATGTCAGTAAAGAAAAATAAATGAGTCTGTATTGAAAACATCAAAATTACCCTACCATAAACTGACCAAAGATGAAGGCGGTTCACCTTTAGTGTTGACAGATGGGATGATTTGATCTGAATGATGTCCATATGGATTTAAAACTGAAAACAGTATTACAATATTAGCTGCTGTCTGTGCCATCAGACCAGATTCATGAAGCATCCTTTTTTTCTTATAATATTTTTCTAATTTTTAATTTAAGAAGAAAAAAAAATGTATGAATATTTCATAATGCCAAAGGCTTCTTAAGAATGCTATTTTCTACAGAATGTTATCAAGGAAGAAAGAAAGAGAAAGACAAAAAGAAAACGGGATAATTAACTCAAAAATGAAGTCTTTAAAAAAAAAAAAAGGTATTATAAAAGGACATTTTGAGACTGTTTCAGTTGTTGTTGTTGTTGTTGTGGTCCATACAATAGAAGTCAATGTTCATTTTACAAACTGAATATAATAGTAATGTTACATAGAAAGAAACCACTAGTTTATGCTTCTCGGAGGAATCAACATATCAATTACTTTATCTCTGCACATTAAGCTATTTAACTATATTAACTACATTATTTTAAAATAAGAAAAAAACACTCCATCTTTAAAGGTCAAACTTTTTATTTTAATTTATATAAAATACAATTTGTTTTTAGACTAACTTTTTTTTTTTTTTTTTGATTTTTAGATAATCTCACACAATCAAGATCTTACACGCTCACTGGTTTTGCGTCTTCCCTCCCCTGCTACGAAAATGTAAGAAAATGCCAATATTTCCACCACCGTCTCATGGATGCTTTGATTTTCAAGTCAAGCATATAAAATAACAGCTTAAGGCCTAAATATAGTGAGGCTTCAACAAAGTGTAAACCAAAAGGCCTGAAGAATGAAGACAAAAGGTCGAAGTACAATATAGATTTGGTCCATCATTCAAAATACACGATAAGAAATCTCTTTTATCAACTGGGGGGGAAAAGTAAAAAAAAATAAATAAATAATCAAACCTTCAGCTGAAACAGATCTCACGTCAAATCTCAGCATGGCAGCTATTTTGCATACGGACTACAGACAGCTTCATTTAAGATGTGACTAGCTTAGCGAGATCATTTGCTGTAACCGAGCAAGGTCTTTAGCTTTGAAGCATTGCAAATAATGTCCGACGGCACATAGTACACAGTGCAGTTTCAGCTCACCTTCAAGCTGTAAAGCTGATTTACAGCCACATGTTATTATTTAGCATTATTCATCTTGCTGTCGGTTGCACATTGGAGGTTAATAGAAATGCCAGCATGTTCACTGATTTACTTAGTAAAATTTTCCTCCCAAGGTTGGGCCTGAGTGATTGGACTCTGACTGAGGAAGGAGGGGGTTCATGCATTATGTAGAGGTGGCTGATGTGACCTTGAGCCATCACGGCCCGGGCTATATATTACAGCTGCGGCCATCCTTCCCACACCAAAGAGCCATCCGACATATTTAACAGGGTTTTACACAACATTACTGACGCTTTGCATGAGCTGAGCTCCTTTTATTTGCTCATTCATTTCAAGAGTGGTTTAACAACTATGGATGGGAAGCCCCCCAGCCATTTGATTCACCTCAGACAGACAATTAATAAAGGCAAAGCCACTGATACAGTGAGAAAGAGGAAGCCATAAACATTTATTATGTGTTCACTAGGACAGTAATAGTGTAGATGGACTTCCATGAATTCCAATGTTAATCAGGCATATAGCTGTCATTTAACGTAGACAAATATGAAATAGCCTGTCATCTGGAAACATAACCGATTATGATGGCATGATAGATGTAAATATTTGAAGAGCATTGCTTTGTAGAGCATGTTGGCTCATGTATTTTGTACAGTAATTTATGTATTCTGGGAAACATTTGCTTTGACTTTGGAGATCAGATAGACCAGTATTTTCCCACAGACAGTAGAAGGTGGTGTTGGATCAATACGCTGCATGTTAGTAAGGCTTTGGCAACCTTTAACATAACAAGCCAAATTGATTTATCTAATGCCCTCCATATTTTGAAATTACATTAGCGTATAATCTTGTCTAGGACCCGACCATGACATTTAAAGCACACACACGATCCTAATGGTGTGTTCATTATTTAATAAAAAAAGAAGAAAAAAGAATGAGTATTTTTTCTACACTTGAAAGTACAGGTCATCCTCTCTTTCGATGTTTAAAGAGAAATAATTATGTTGGAAATGATGGCGATGCTTGCTGATAAAGGAAATGATAAGGGAACACCATTCTCTTTTTAAAAGCACAGGGTCCATTCGAATATAATTGGTAGAGGAATTATTTATGACATTAATTGCCACATTATCGACTGCCTGTCAACTCGCGTGGCAGTTCGTCCATCTTTCTTACCGGCGCTCGCAAGCTCAGCCTAAAGCAGACTGACAAGCTAATTACACCATCTTCCCCTTCCATGACAAATGCTACTCATCTGAAACCGTGCCGGAAATAAAGCTCTTTCTCTCCCCGCCTGCCCTTTTCCCTCTCCCGTCTGCCCGGGCTAATATCTCCTCGTGTCTGTCGTAAAGGATGGAGCCGTGAGCTTTTGGAGAGCGATCTGCTCCCCGTCTCACCTCTCACTCATTGCGAGGAGCATTTCCTGGAGCCCTGTGAGCATGGAGTCCCAGGTCAGAGCCTACAGGTTGCTCTCCACTTCTCACACCTTAATTAGTCCCCACCGCAGGCCTCTCCCAAGCATCTCTCTCCCGAACACACGTGTGTGTGTGTGTGTGTCAGCACATGTCTTCCCGCTGCACTTCCGCCCGCCTTCTAATGCTGTTTATATTTGTGGAGCTGCTTGAGATGAGGCCCTGACGAGGATGGGAACTGACACTCACCAAACTCGGTATGTCCCCAAGCCAGCTCCAGCGGCTCGGGTGCTGTCAATTCTGGCTACATCAGCGGCAGTGGCTCAATGGCAGCGTCTCTGACACATGTCACAAAGTTTTAAATGTCTGTTCTTTTCATGGGGATGGTTGGGTGAGCCAGCCAGGGAAGAGATGACATTTTGTGTGGTTAGGGGGGACTTGTTGTGGCTCCTTCTTGCTGCCTCCACGTGCTATTACTATGTAATAAATGTGTTATTACTGAGTTTATGAGAAAAAATGGGCACTTATGCATGTCAATAATGTGCATAGATTCAAAACTTGAAACCATGATTGTTCCGTTAGCATCTTGACAAATCATTCAGTTCATGTTCATTTAGTTCCCACCCTTTCCATTACTTTTCTCAGGGCCCATATCCCTGTGTTCTTCTAGCGAGGAGCATTTCCTGGAGCCCTGTGAGCATGGAGTCCCAGGTCAGAGCCTACAGGTTGCTCTCCACTTCTCACACCTTAATTAGTCCCCACCGCAGGCCTCTCCCAAGCATCTCTCTCCCGCACACGCGTGTGTGTGTGTGTGTCAGCACATGTCTTCCCGCTGCACTTCCGCCCGCCTTCTAATGCTGTTTATATTTGTGGAGCTGCTTGAGATGAGGCCCTGACGAGGATGGGAACTGACACTCACCAAACTCGGTATGTCCCCAAGCCAGCTCCAGTGGCTCGGGTGCTGTCAATTCTGGCTACATCAGCGGCAGTGGCTCAATGGCAGCGTCTCTGACACATGTCACAAAGTTTTAAATGTCTGTTCTTTTCATGGGGATGGTTGGGTGAGCCAGCCAGGGAAGAGATGACATTTTGTGTGGTTAGGGGGGACTTGTTGTGGCTCCTTCTTGCTGCCTCCACCAGCTGTCAGTGCCACTTTTCTCAGAACATATCACAACACCGACAAATAAACCTTGTCATTTAGAAACGCCAGCACTAGTGACCATGCTCTCCAGCAAGCATAGTCTCAGACACAAATGTACTGTATACACACACACACACACACACACACACACACAATAAACAACCCGCACACACA